CTTTACGTCGTCAAACAGTTGGCTACAGGCTTTCATCAGTAGACGATCTTGTGTTTGGTAAGCAATCGGGCGAAAGCGGTGATTCAGGTATGTGCGCTGCATCCGACTAGGCAGAAAAATTATCCGAAATATGTTCCAGCTACACAGCTCAAGACATTCTTAATTCACATGAAACTGCTTTGCTATTCAAAACGACGTCGGATAAAGGCTTTGTGTAAAAGGATAGAAATGCGCAGGTGGGAAAAGAAGCAAGGTGCGTATCACAGTTATGCTGTGCACTACCACATTGGGGGAGCGAGAACCGGCTGCAGTGATTTTGAAATCAGCCAACTCGCGAATTTTATAAGTCTCAACATGAAAAACTACCGGCAGTTTACCAGGATAATAAAAAGGCATGGATGGCTGCAGCTATTTCCGAAGATTTTACAGCAAAATACAGAAAAACGCAACATCATACCTTCTCTCGACAAAGCCATTGCACTCCTTAATTCTACCTACTTAATATCAAATTGCAGTTCCTGTCACCCAACACCACTGTGCTACTTCAACCCTACGACCAAGGTGTCACTCAGGCTCTTAAATCGGTTTAGGAAAAAAACAGCTTCTCCATCTTATAACGATCATGGAATCCCACAAAGATATGTCCGGAACTGCTTTCATGAAACGAGTAACTTTATTAGACGTCGTGTTCTACATAACTTCTACCTGGAAGGGGGTGCAGAACTCAACCATCGATGCTATTAATAGCGGGGTTTCCTTGTACTGCAGGAATAGTTTCTGAGAGAACAATGCAAATTTGACCTGAGACATATGAGCAAATTGTGTCTCCTTCAAACGCAAATGCTATGGATACTCTCTCAGAGGAATTGTTTGGACAAACTGGCTGACAGCCATCTGGTTGATTCTTATTTCCAAACATGTCACACAAAAGAAATAAACTGGGACCTGCCAACCACATCAATTTTAGCAGGTACGGATGTGAATAATGAATCGGACTACCAACAGGAACAGGATTCTAAAACCGTATACATAAAAACGTATACATTCACAGACGCACAGGGTGAAGTTGATATTTCGCGCTCCTACGCAATACATATCGGACACACTGGCATGATTGCACTTCTTATGGACGTGAGGGAAAAACTGAATTTCTTTCATTTCAATTGCCAAACAACATTTTTTCACCGGGTGGATAATGATTATGCAAATAGAAATGTGTACGATTTTTTAAAGGTTGTGTATTTCAACAATTTGCAGGTCCGTTTCTAAACTGTTGACTCACAATCTGTGAGACTATCGCATTATTATTACTCATCTATCCCATATTATGCACTACTACTAAGATTGAAAATGACGGCGGCCTAGATAGTACGTTCGTGACAAACAACTTCGCCGGTGTTCTGCAATTAAAATCATAGTGAATTACGCGCAGATTGCCATTTCTGACAACCTAACTGCATGAGGCGGGGTATTCTGCAGTGTTAGCAGCCGAAACAAAGCAACCAAATTAACTGGACCTAGTCAGCACACAACAAGCGTCATTGTCTCCTGTTTCCCCCCAGATGGAGCAGTCATGTTGCAGAGAAACACGCTCATGGTTGTCCGTAATTTAGCGTTCTAGTGAGTTGACGCATTATATCACTTTATATCTATTTTTGGTGTAACTGGATTTTGTTTTCAAGGCATGTTCAATCACAATTACAATAAAGTTATTCACTCAAAACCATCTAAAATGTGCACTTTCAACAAACTTCCTCAGCGCGCCGGGGTACATTTACGAAACACCGACCGGTCCACGGCGATATAAAGTTTGGGGACCACTGCCGTGGAGTGCACCGGCTCCCATTATCCCCATATTTCACGAGACTAGCTGCTTGCAGTGTAAGCACTTCGCAACCAAATAGTACAAGTCTGCGCACTTGCGGAACATGGAGGGAAGTAATATATTTCACCGTTTAACATATCCTTGGAAAGGAAATTGCAAGGCTGTATTCAAACGTCTATCACATGCCTCCTTCATCCATCCATTGATGATTATATCATTCCACCCGGGAGCTGTTCTGTCTACCTCGATTAGATTTGACCTGTGTGGTTCGTATGGGTGAGAATTGTTTGGAATATGACTTCCTTCTACCCCACGTTAAACTTAGACCTGTGGATCCGTCACAAAAGTGATATTTCATCGCAGAAAGAAAGAAGTTACGTGTAGTAATTGGTATCGATTCTGCTGCGACGGAGATCGTTCCGCTCCTTATGTTACGGACAACTTGGCTTCGAGTTCAAACGGTAGCTGCTACTGCGCCGTCAACTATCCGACCGAACTAGACTGAATACCCACCAAAACGAGGCAACCTAGCTGCGCCTCTTGTTTAGAGCATCATTTTAGTACCAAGCCAACGTTGTGCACTGTTGTCCTGCGTGCATCACTTGCGCCCTAGCCCCAGACATCTCCTTTGCTCACTTACAAAAGGGGCTTGACTCCACTTCAGACTTATACCCGGTGCGCTGAGCGCACGCGTTTCCCTTCCCTCAGGGACTGTGCGCGCTCCACTGGATGTCTCAGACACCCCCATTGTCCAGTGAGGGCGCGCGGCACATTGTGCACCGGCTGAGTTCCATTTAGTAAACTCTCAGTTGCCGTTCATTTGTGTTGGACCACGCTAGTCTCACAGTTTTCCTACCCACCTCCGAAAGCGTGAGTATTCTGCGCGTAACTGTGTTCAGTCTCTACGCTATAGCGGATTCTATTGGCTGGTAGCCTCTGCCCACGCAGTGCTACGTGGATGCAAGCTCGATGATTATCGGATGATAGCCTTTGCATTAAGGAGGAAAGCTCCTGCACTAAGAATGATGACTTCTGCACTTAGAATGATAGTTTCTGCACTAAGGATGTAAGCGATTGTGTTAAGGAGGTTAGCAAGTGTGAAACAGTTTTTTTTTCGAACCCATGTAGTCAGAATAGGTCAGCAACACTCTACGCCTAAATGAGTAACCACGGCGCGTACCGGGAATTTTCGCTGGGATCACTATTTTTCCTCATCTAGGCAGGCGACGTATTCGAGGCCGTCAGACGCGGAAATTTCATTGCTGTTTGCAGATGACTTCAAACGGGTCTGCTCATTTTAACCAGACGAACTACGAAGTCGCCTGGAGAACGTGCGTGAGGATGTACTTGCACTAAATATGTCGGTTGAACGTCTGCTAATGGAATTTACCGCAAACAAATCTCGAGTACTTGAGTATAACCATCGCATCCCGGAATGCTCTTTCATGCTTGCCGGTAGCGTGATCCCAACGTCTGATTCATTTCGGGACCTGTGAATTGGCTATACCAACTCCTACAATTATTCTGTGCATAGACTTTATCAGGTGGCAGAAACCAGACAATTATCCGGCTATATCACTAGAAGTTTCTCTTTACCTGAACACAACTATCGTTATTTATTATAATCATGAGACGTATTCTAAAGTATTGCACAACCATGCACAGTTAAGAAAATAATACATAACAGCTCTGGAAACTGTCCAACGATCCTTTACCAAACTGTTCATGTAGTGCTGCTGCAGTAATCGTTGCCATTTCCTCCGAAGGATTCCCTTTGACTGAGATCGTTGAAGAACAATCTGTTTTTTGCTTTCAACTGTATAAACATGCTGATTTTTAAGGTGAATAGCATCATCGATCCTGGGAAATCTGTCATCTATCCCTATTGTCGGCCGGTGGCCGAGTGGTCTGCACGTTTGCTTTGCAAGGTCACCGGTTCGAATCCGCGTAGGGGTGGGCGTCCTCGCGGTATACTCAGCCCGCGCGCGACGGGTGGTGGTTGCGCGGCAGCGAAGCGCCGTTACGGCGTACAGCTGACACATTATTATTATTTATTTTATTATTGTAACGCAGGCTACTTGTTGTCCTAACCACCTGCCAGTCACCAAAGCCGATCGAGGTTCCTTTTAATGTGATATGCTAACATGTGGAACCGACTACCACCACAAGTACGCACGAGTGCTAACCAAGCCACATTCCGGAATTCTCTAGACTTTCCTCGCCATCCCGAATGTGTTGAAGTCACTTGGCGTACAACAATCTCCAGAAACATTAACGCAAGCTGGTCCAACAGGTGAACTATCAGTAGACTACAATCAGCTTATCATCTCTTTATTATGACCATGAAATTCAACGTGTGCTCATGCAACTTACTCTCTCGAATTATGACTGCTCTCGAGTTGCCTTACCTGGAACATTTGAAAACACGAATACAACTATTCGTACAAATTGTATTTTGAGTAAGCGTGTAAGTGATCCGAGGGAAAATTCATGATCTGGTTATGTTTTATTATTATTATTATTATTATTATTATTATTATAGTTTGGGCCGCGCAAATCATGACTCTACTCCGGTGTGCCAACGAACACTTATTTAAGGGGCCCTGTGTTGTTGATCTGTAAATATACGAATATATTTATTTATCTACGTTTTGTTGCCTACGTCGTGAGGAGTCAGCTGTTTCTGTACCGAGTGGATATTGCTGAGAGTTGTGGTTGCTGATTGTGATATTCCTTTGTATGGAACTGTAGTTCGATGTCAGTCTTGTGTTGACTTGACTCAAGATGTATACGCGTTGCTCGTAGGTCCCAAACTAATTTACTTCCAATGGTATGCACGGAATTACCCTACATAAGGTATTTGCTTCCGTGTGAAGAAACCGCATAGACGGTATGGTATCTGAAGCCTAAACCACGAAACATGAAGCGAAATATGTACTAATGGGTTCAGTGTTACATGAAAATATTCAAGCCACGAAAATAGCAAAATTACCGTAGACATTAAGGATCAAGTGCAACTAGGACGACGGAATTATTCCTTTCGAAAATGGGGCTAAGAGCCCGTATGATTTATCGGCACTCAGAAAGCAGAAGCACAGTCAAAAATGAAACCGTACTAAGCATTAAATACGCTCAGACAAGCAAGAAAAATGAATATAATGTTGGACCCAGGAAGTTAAAACGAAGCCAGTATTAAATGAGAAAAAAGTAAAGTGAGAAACGAGACTACGGTAGTTCTGACAGCGGCTGAGGATCTGGAAAATGATTTCTCCTGTGTTATAGTATTGTCTTTTGTTGAATGCATGCCAACTGAGTTACCCGTTGGTGCAACCGTTGGTGTTGAACCGTTGCCACGTAAAGTTCCCGGCAGATTTTCGATCCTAAAGATCATTCCACGTGATTTGTCCACTGCAAGGACCATAGCTGTTGACTTCATACTGCGTAAGTGATTGTTGGGAGTGATGATAGTTGTTGAAACCACGCCGCGGGATTTAGCCGTAGGAATTCTCATGATTGTTGAACCCACAAAACCTGATCGGATCTTTTGGAAGGGTTGTCCACTTGTTGCAATTTTCTGACAATCTTCCGCTGTTCCCTTTTTGTATGGTTTTGCACCTTTGTAATTTCCACTGTTTGGAGAGAAAACAACCTGTTTATGTAATCAGCGGATTTCCAAGTTATGTTGTTACTTTTACATGCATCCTTTGTTGTAGTATGACGACGCTTCATCATGATTTAATTTCTCACCTTTTAGATCGTTAAATTAAAATGTTGCAGCAGGGCACACGTGATGACATATAGTAACTATGGGTTGGGATAACCCGACCGGTACTTTGTATATCATGGCTATCAGGGCCTGGACCGAAGCACACCAGACAATCTACTTCAGTCTAATCGTGCACAAAGTTTCGCGGCCTGTTATTGACGCACCTTCTAATGGGGTTATCATATTCCATGGCCAGTTCAGTTCAGTTGAACAAATATGATCCGAGCATCGAATTGCAGTGTATCCAGCTGCTAAGATCAGTAGATGAAAATTGTGTATAATGGCTTTAAACGAAAAGATAATACAAATAGATGAAATAAAAAGGCTCAAAACTAATCAGCACGGGATAAATACAAACAGCTGGATACAAAAACCGAATGCAGGAACACCACTGACTTGACCACAGCAACGTGTCGTATAGTTCCCAACCAACACCATTGTTAATCATCCCGCGGCCCCCTCCACGAAAACGACACGTCTTTATTCTACCTCATCAAATGTTCACTCTGCAGTTTCACCCAACTTGGTGCAGCAAAGCCGTATGATTCACAGCGAGAGCCTATGTAACATATGTCCTTGCCACCGCAAACGGTTGAGCTTTAGCAAACACTCGAGTGGGGCCCCAGAAGGCCGCATACCGAAAAGCAACCGGCGAACCTCAGCACTGCTCACTCGGCGTTCCCACCTAACCTGAGCAATTCTCCCAAAGCACCGGTGATCAAACGCCTTCAAGATTTTAATGTCTTCATTGTGAACTATCCAGGTATCTGATCCATACACTACAATCCAGCTTTTTGCAGCATCACATGCCCGACTTGACAGGCTGGTATCCCACTTTCTTCATACATGGCTTATCCTCTGGAAAGCCGTGCTAATATGTGAAGTAACCTTTTCAGGAATGTCGTCAACAGAGGTGACAGATACCAAGGTAAGTGAACTGATCCATCATTTCCATTGGCGGTTCGATGACAGCTAGAACCGGTCCAGTCATCCGACGTTACTTTGTTACTTAAGGGTACAAAGCACATGACCGAAAGTACAATGCTACTCATCAATCTATTCTATAGCGTTTGCATAGCCACTGCGTCAGACCCAAGCAGAACCATGTCATCCGAATACTCCAGCTTCGTCAACCGGTCATCTGTCAGAGCTTCAACTCCGCAACAGTGAAAGAACGCAGTCATTTTTGATAAATTCGACCAAAAAGTTAAAGAAGAGAGGCGATATAGGACAGCCATTGAGAAAACCAGTTGTCTTGGGGAATTTAGGAGACAGATCCCATAGACAATTAGCCAGTCTACGGGGTGCATACGAGAAATTTCAGCAAGGAAACGGGTCTAACGCACCCATTACTGATAGACGGTATCGCAAGCTGGCGCGATCAGTCATCGAATGCGGCTTTTTGGTCAAGGAAAACTGTTATAGTCGGTAGCATGTATATGTCCCTGTTCCAATGCTAGGCGAAGAGTAAGCATTCGGTTAATGGGCCCAAGATCAAAGAGAAAGCCTTTTTGACGACAAAGAATAGATATTTGTTAAACGCAACCACCTAATTAGCGGAAGCTAGAATTTCCATGAATGGGTTCTCATAAGGACCAATGTGTACTCGAAGAATCGCACTTGTAAGAAGTCTAAAGGCACTGGAAAGAAGGCTTGTACATTGAGTATTTTTGCCCTAAGTCAGTCGACCAATTTTAAGGATGGACTTGTCAGTTGGCAGTCACCAGTCTGAAGGCAGATATTCAGTATTCCGAAAAAGTAGTGAGTAAGGCAGCAAGCTAACTTTTACCGTCTGCAAGAATAACAGAAAAATGTCAGGTCTATAAGCGCCAAAGCACTCAGGATATTTAGACAACAATCAGGAAACCGATCCGCGACTTCGTGGAAAGATTCAATAACCGACAAAGAAGCAGACTTGGCCTACGGCCACCGACCAAACGACAAGTGATGTTGGATAACACTGATGGTGTTGGGACAGAAGCAAGTATAAGGTTCGAGGCTAGTACAACTTGGAAAGTAGGCCAGTACTGGGCAATGAGTGGTTGTCCGCCTTTTTGTTGTGTGTGTATACCCACCAATCTTACTGAGTGGTGCGATTGCACGCTGCAACTTTTGAAGTGCATTCACGTGTCTGTAAATAAGGCTGTGGTTCGAACATAATTGTTTCGCTAGCTCCAGTCGGTGTGCTAACTTGTTATCACGACCCAACTGTACATAATTATTGCTCGGAGCTACGTACACTCTCTTATTCTCCGCGTCAGGATTGTTAATGTGAAGACGCCATGTGTTCTTCCAAGGCCCTAACTTTTCATATTTGGCTTCTCATGAATAATATCGGTTTCATGTAATGCTGGAGGATTTTTTGCTCCTTATGCGAACAGAACCAGTTAATGAGAAATATATTGCATTTTTGGGCTCTGCATCGGGGCATCCGCGGTAGCGTATGAAATCAAACCTTACAATTCTGTGATCGTAGCCATTTGTTGCGTGCTTTTAAAATCCCATTTGAAAATACACTAGTAAGTGCACCCTAGATATAGTCTGGGAGAAATGGTTGAAAACCACATTACTAGTCACCGAAGCATCGGAGCATAAATCTTCCACCATCACTTGAAACCAACGTTATTCATGAGAAGCCAAATATGAAGAGTTAGGGTCTTGGGGGAGCACATGGCGCCTTCACATTAACAATCCTGACGCGAAGAATAAGAGAGTGTACGTAGCTCCGAGCAATAATTATGTACAGTTGGGTCGTGATAACAAGTTAGCACACCGACTGGAGCTAGCGAAACAATTATGTTCGAACCACAGCCTTATTTACAGACACGTGAATGCACTTCAAAAGTTGCAGCGTGCAATCGCACCACTCAGTACGATTGGTGGGTATACACACACAACAAAACGGCGGACAACCACTCATTGCCCAGTACTGGCCTACTTTCCAAGTTGTACTAGCCTCGAACCTTATACTTGCTTCTGTCCCAACACCATCAGTGTTATCCAACATCAAACTCATAGCAAAGACGGTTCTGAGAAAGCTACTATCCTTGCATTCACACAGCTTTCCTGGAGTGGATAACCTTCACCCTAAAGCACTAAAGGCAGCAGCCATTCACCTAGCCCAGCCACTTGCCGGCTTCTTTCAGAGAAGACCGTCTGATCCTATCATTTACCGTCCGGTAACACTTCTCTCTGCCGTTTCCAAAGTCATGAAAGCTATCATCGCTAACGTAATGATTAGCTACTTGGAAAACGTAGGCGAAGCATTAGTAGGATGGGTTGGTAATTTTCTCCGTGAACAGCAGTGCTAGGTTAGAGTCCGAACATCTCTGCCCGACCCTAATCTAGTGGAGTGCGACGATCTTGCGAGAGCCATCACCTCAACAATTGTACTTTTCCGGATGACGTTAACAGTTGGCCGGCGATCAAGCGAATGTACGACCACTAGATCCTCCATGTGCGACCTATATAGGACCTGGCATTGATCGGTGAGGAATTCATTGCCATTAAATGTGGTCAAGTGGCACATTGTCGACATAAGCCAAAGACAAGCCTATCTAGAAAATGGGAGCATATGACCTGCAAAAAAGCCCTCAGGAACTTGACCTCAGCGTGCTGGTGCAGGATGACTTCGCTTATTCCAGACAGTCGGAATCCGTATCAAAAGTGGTGACCAGCACGTTGTTAGCTTGCGGCTGGCATTCGAAAGTTTCGATTTATTCATCTTCTCTATGATGCTCCATGCCTACGTGCGTTAACAAGTCGAGTACGCAACCCAGGCTTGGCACGCTTGGCTAAACCGTGACTTTGCAGCGCTTGAAACTCACCATGAGCGAGAAACAAAATATGTCAAGGGATTGTGTAACCTTTCGCATCAGCAGTGACTAAAAACATTTGGATTGTTTAGTAGACGCTACAGGTGGCTACGTGGGGACCTCATATTAGTCTACGAGATACAGAACGACCACACGTACACATGTTGCCACCTACTGCAACTCATCTTGAACACTAACTTCACAGGCAATGGCCTGAAACTGAGTCAACAACACAGTCGGCTTTTCATTAAGGCTGCACAAACCTCAGCTAATAGCAACTCAGTGATTCCCCCATAAATCGCCATCGAACGTTTCGGTGCCTACGCTGTTTATGTGCCCAACGACAGCCTGGACGTTAAGAATTCTATCCGACCGGACGCATCATTAGCCCTATTTGCCAGCGGACCAGTTTAGTCGTTAACACATTTGTGAAAGAGGATAAGTATATTAACAGAAATGTATTAGAACGATCATCTATGCTAGTGAAGGATATGTTCAAAATGTCCGCCGGCATTTGTTTTGTACACTCGCCGCTTCAGATAACGCCGTAGAAAAAATTCCATGGGGTTTAAATCAGGTGAGCGAGCAGGCCACTCCAATGGTGGCAAAATCTGTCGGTGATGTAAGCACGCACCGTTTTAGCAGAAGGTGTAGGTGCACTATCCTGCTACCCCCAAATGGTACTGCATGCCTCTTCGGCCTCCAACTGGGGAAGCACAAATCTCTGCAAAATTTCCAAGTACGACAACGCTAGGAAAAGGTACGGCTTTAGTACCTTAAAACAACAACCTACCGGTCACATTCCCGGAAAAGAAATAAGGGCCCAAGATTTTCTGGCTTGTTAATCCGGCCCAAACCATCAGTTTCACACTGTGGTCCATACGTGATGCGGTAAATTTTCGTGGGTTGCTGGTAGCCCAAGCGTGATGTTTCATTGTTTCATGCAGCTGAAACAATGTCTCATCTGTACAGATAACAGAACGAATATCCCCGTGGCGCAGATATTGGCGGCAAAATTCATGCCGCTTCTCCGAATAGCAGGGGTTCA